TTTTATGCAAACTTGATTTATGACTTTGATCTTATCTTAAATAATTTAAAAATTAAATAATTTATACTGAATCTGTCACTTTCCAAGGCTCTTTCCTTTGTTCTTGCTTTGCTCTTCTGCATTTTCCCATCTCCCTCACCCTTTTTTGATCTGTGCACATTTCCTTTCTGCATGGTGAGGCATCACTGACATGAGACACGCACTAAACACTCCTTGCCCCTTTTATTCAAAGAAAGACCTGCAGGAACTGTAGCTTATTTGTGCCAGAACTGTACAACCACCATTCACAGACAGTTTTGATTGTCACTGCTTGTGATTTTGGGCTTGGCTGCCCTGAGTAGGTGTGCTGTGCTCTGTGAAGTGGAGAGTGTGCCTGCAGGTTCTTCCTAGGCTGGCAGCAAATCAAAGGTGGTGCCAGGCAGCATCACTCTCCTTCTCTCCAGGCTGAGTCCAGATCTATACCTCAGCCTGGCCTTAGACTGCAGAAGCAGCTGTCTGTACCCAGCTGATGTAGATCCACAGTAACCTGACAATGAAAAGGGCTGGTGCCCTGTACCCTTGTGAAATAAAATAAATAATTGCTCCATAAAAGGGGAAGTTAAATGAGTATGGGAAGATATTGCTGAAGAGAAAAAACTGAAAACAATCAAAAAACCCACCCTGAAATAAATTAGAGTAGGGGCTCTGGGAGCTTTAGGAAGCTATGAAATCTGATTTGCCTTGAGCTGCATACAAAAGAGGTGAGGTAGGTCTGATGTGACTTTCTGTGCCACTGAAGACAGAGTTGGTGCCAAGCTTTGGTTCAGCAGACAGAGTTGGTGCCAAGCTTTGTCTGGGCTGCTTGAAGGTGGCACTTGAGGAGGGGATAGAAATCCACACACAGTGGAGAACTCCCTTTGCTTCCTCATTTTTTTGCCTCTGTGTCTGAGGCCAGATGGCTGCTGAACCCCAGGACTGGTTGCTTGGCTGAGACCATGGCTTTTATCAAGGTTAAAGTTGTTTAGGTTGGGGCTGAGAGGGTTGGCAGTGTGCAGGAGCAGGGAGAGCTGTGGCATGGCCATTTGCTGGGCTGTAAGGGAGGTAACTTCGGGAGGAGCTGGGGCCCAAATCTGTCCTGACAGCATTACTAAAGTTTATCTGTCAAACTTTAATGGTCTGAGACCCTTGCTGCCTCTCCTCAGTGGGGCTGCTGGGTTGGCAAAGCCATGGCTGCCCACCAATCTATCAAACAGCCACACCATGGGGCTCCTGCTGCACTGACCACCTTGGTGCATCGAGGCTTTTTGGGAGCTAATCCTGTCACAGTGATGTGCAAGATGCTTCTCTGGGGAAAATTCAGCAAGAAACTGCAGCAACGGGGCCCTGAGCAACCGCCTCCATGGGGACAGACCATTAGAAACTATTGAAAAACCACCGTCATGGGATTGCTTGGAAATTGTTATATAGAGACATCAGTCAGGTTTGGACTGCTGGGGGATAGCTGGGAGGACAGCTCTCAGAGAGCCTGATGTCTCATGCTTGTGGTGGCCTCACTATTAAGCACTGAGGCAATTCTTACACTTACGTTACTGTCACACCACTCTGAGAAAGCTCATGGAGAGACAATACAAGAGAGAGCCGTGTCCCTGAGGGAGGAGAGAAAATAAATAAATCTGATCATCAGGTTTATTTGCACATGAAGAAACAAGATCAGGGGGCCAAACAATTCAACCAATGTCACGAGAGTTGCTGGTGGCAGTGGCATCACCAGTCATGACAGTCACGCTCCTGATATTTCAGCTTCCCTCCTCTTGACTTGCCTTAGCTCTTTGACTTCAGGCTGAGTAAAACTGCTGTCTCCCTCTCCCTCTCTGCTATCGATTCCTCCATCTCCTGCTGGCATTTGCGAGGTGCCAATCACCCTGATATCTGAGAGCCAGCAGTCCGGGCTGGATTAATCGGGACCAAGGCAACGTCACAGAGCCCCGGCTCTCCCTTCCTTCCCTTTCATGTGAGCCTGTGAGATGGAGCAGATAGGGAGGCTGATTGAGAGACAGCCTCTGAGCACGCTCTGGGTCCACAGGCGCCACACAGAAATGTGATCCCATCATTTAGACAGCTCCCAAGTCCCCAGGGTAATTGGTGTCACCAGCTTGTCATATCCAATGGGTCAAGATCTAAAACTTATTTTTTTCTCCCTTATTAGCATTTTTATCAGAAAAATAAAAAAAAAGAGTATGGGTCCAATTCTGCTTTCACAGAAATCAACATGAAAAATATTCATTTGTTTCAAGTGGATGGGAGAAGACCAGAAATTGTTTTTCCTCTTCCTTCTGCCCTGATTCCTCACTTCCCCTCATACTACACCTGTATTATCTGGTGAGAAACAGAGGAAATTTTTGTGGTGTAAAGGTGCAGACTACATCCTCTCATATCAGTATAAACCTTGTCTGGAAATTAGAAGAGTTACTCTAGATTAAAAATAATGCAAAAAGGGTTTTTGGACCAGGACATCAGGACAGTGGTGTCTTTTCCATTTCTCCAGCTGCCTGACCAATGTCTGTAGAGTGACACTGAGGCCACTTCTCCTGCCTGAGAACCTCAGCAAATGCTTGTCCCAAGCTGTCAGTGGATTGCCTCCTGTTAATTCCTCTGGTACATGGTGGCAAAGGTGCTACATGTGCTCTGACAGTCTGCTGGCCACTGACCTAGGCTCATTTGGGATTTACTGTCTCTTTTCCTCTTCCTGCAGCCTTCTCTGGCCAGGGGGAGTGTTAAACACAGCCAGGCTGAATAGGAAGTTGGTCTTCTATAATGTGAGGAAGGGAGCAGAGGACAAAGGAAGAGACAGAGACTGACTTTGACTAGGAATAAAAATGAAGATAGCAAAATGGAAGTAAAAATAGAATTTTCCCAGAAGAGAGAGAATAAAAAATCCAGAAGGTGCACCAAGAGGTGCGGCTGGAAGGAGAGGAAGAGCCTCAGTGGAGCTCTACAGCACATCCTCACAACTCTGCATGGCTCACACAAGGGGTAGGTTGGGTTGTACCAAGTGCTCAGTGAGGCACATGGCTTCCAGAGAGGAACAGAAATGTCAAGACCTTCAAATTAAAAAGAAAACATGGTGATCTGATGGGAAATACTTGGTGCCAACACATGAGAAAGAAACAGTCAGGGAAGGAAGGAAGTGGCAGAAGGAAGGAAGTGGTGGAAGGAAGGAAGTGGTAGAAGGAAGTGGTGGAAGGAAGTGGCGGAAGGAAGTGGCAGAAGGAAGGAAGTGGCGAAGGAAGTGGCGGAAGGAAGTGGCGGAAGGAAGTGGCGAAGGAAGTGGCGGAAGGAAGTGGCGGAAGGAAGTGGCGGAAGTGGCGGAAGTGGCGGAAGGAAGTGGCGGAAGGAAGTGGTGGAAGTGGCGGAAGTGGCGGAAGTGGCGGAAGTGGCGGAAGGAAGGAAGTGGCGGAAGGAAGTGGCGGAAGGAAGTGGCGGAAGGAAGGAAGTGGCGGAAGGAAGTGGCGGAAGGAAGTGGCGGAAGTGGCGGAAGTGGCGGAAGTGGCGGAAGTGGCGGAAGTGGCGGAAGTGGCGGAAGGAAGGAAGGAAGGAAGGAAGGAAGGAAGGAAGGAAGGAAGTGGCGGAAGGAAGTGGCGGAAGGAAGTGGCGGAAGGAAGTGGCGGAAGTGGCGGAAGGAAGGAAGTGGCGGAAGGAAGGAAGGAAGTGGCGGAAGGAAGTGGCGGAAGGAAGTGGCGGAAGGAAGTGGCGGAAGGAAGGAAGGAAGGAAGTGGCGGAAGGAAGTGGCGGAAGGAAGGAAGGAAGTGGCGGAAGGAAGTGGCGGAAGTGGCGGAAGTGGCGGAAGTGGCGGAAGTGGCGGAAGTGGCGGAAGGAAGGAAGGAAGGAAGGAAGGAAGGAAGGAAGGAAGGAAGGAAGGAAGGAAGGAAGGAAGGAAGGAAGGAAGGAAGGAAGGAAGGAAGGAAGGAAGGAAGGAGAACCTTGCGGTCATTGCTCTGGAAGGAGTGTTGGCACACCAGAGTGTTATTCCTGAACTGGCCCTACATACCTAAGGCGAGGTTTGGGTCTGCCGTTCAGGAAGGTGCTACTCTGGACAATGTGTTCAATATCACTTCCCTCCTGGGCACAAATCGTGCAGTAGGCCACATTTTGCCATCAAATAGAAGAAGCACCTGTATACACTGTCACTGCCTGAAAATCTGCTTGAGAGAAAGCAGCCAAAGTCACTGGGAAGTATTGTGTCTGCCTGCTGCAGGCATCACCTCCACCTTCCTCCAAAATATCTGGCAGAGAGCCCAAGTTACCTGATTCTGGTCTTGTCTTGCAGATCCTTGTTAATTTTATCCTAATGAAAACAAGTAATTTCAGAGTCATCCATTTAATAATATCATAAAGACCCCAGCACCTGTACAGTCACATCTTCTCAGGTTTGGTATGCCCACAGGAAACCTGAAGTCAGCACAAGAGGATTTTTCCCCAGTCTGTTTCAATCATACTGTTTGAAGCAGCAGGATTTTGTGTGGGGATATGTCTGTGTGTACATTTTATTATTATCTACTATGCTTTGTGAATCTAAAAGCATTTCTCTCAACAGCTGCTGTTTTGTCCTGTGGTCACTCCAAAGGTACCCATGGTGATGCAAGGTGCAGCAGGGTAGTGGTGATGTGAGGCAGAAAGCTGGGATAACTGGGATAAACTGAGCAGGCTTATTTTATCCAAATCCTCAAAGTGTAGTTGTGTTTTCATTCCACAACAATGGCTTAGCCCCCTAGTAGGTGTTTTGCATAGGTCCACACATGACCAAAAGTTACTGCTAGAGCTGTCTATGGCACTTGGGAGATTCCCAGAGCCTACCCTGGATGGCATGGCTAATTTTTACTCCCATCATGTAACCAGTTCAACAGATAAGCCACCTCTTCCTCCTCTGCTCAGGTTTTTGTCCATTCCCACGAGTTTTTGTGCATTTCCAGGTGATACTTCCCCCTCCCATGAGCGTGCAGAGAGCTGCTGTCTATACTTACTGCCTGTGCATACGCTCCATAAGCTCCAAACTGGATGGCCATGGGGTTGAACATGCCCATTTGTCCTGCCATTTGCTGCATGCGCCTCATCGTACGCTCCTTGTCCGTGTCTGCAAACTTCACCACCAGGCTTGAAGAGGCTCCCTGCAGCACAGGAAACAAAAGGAGACACACAGGGAATGAGCCTGATGCACACCAGCTCATCGATCCACACACCTAACACAGATTTGGTAGAATCCAGGTGCTGATGTTTTCCAGGCAACCTATCAGGCTGTGAATTTTGACTTTTGCAAGAGGGTGAGAGCATCAGGAAGTAAAGGACACTGGAGGGTGAATGCCAGCAGCCTGGCTCCTAGTTTCCAAAATTCCAAAGCTTCTAGGATGTAATTTATATTTTCTCTGCAAAAGTTGTTGCCTTATTCTTTCAACCTTCAGGCCCAGAATGTTGAATCAGAGGACAAAGACCTGGACACATTGCAGGGAAATGTAGGAAGCTTTGGTGCATGCATGTGGTGGGATTTGTAGACTGATTTGTTTTGGTAGAATGTGTGAGGTCTCTGCATTCCAGACCCCTGAAATGAATCACCCTTTCAATGCTGTGTCTTGTAATCCCCAAGTCCAGTGAGAAATCCCTGCCCAGCCTTGGAGACAGGAGTCAGTACACTGGGCAGGGTGTATGTGTCATCATGAAACAGCATCTCTTCAGCACTGCCAGACTAAGGGAGCAAAAATAGTGCTGGATGGACCTGAGCTCTCTCTCCAAAACAGTAGGAAATAGAGGCTACCATGAAAGAGCCCACACATTTCCAGGAAAAATCTACAATATTAGGATTATGTCTGCAGTCAACACCAGCGCAGAGCTATGGATGATCATCAGAACTGCCTGCAGAAATCTGTGGAAAATGTAATGCTTTTGGGAATGAAAGAAATCCCTCTCCTCCCCAAAACCAGATGAAGGGTCAATAGCTGCAATCCTTACATTTCTGGGTAGGGGGCAGAGATGAGAAGAAATAAATCTACTTAGGAAGGCATTTTTTGGTCTTTCTCCAAGGAAGTCCTAACTTCGTGGGTTGGTCGCTTCCCCACAGGGTAAGGAAGGGAAGGGGAGGGACAATCTGGCTGCAGCCCTGACACCAGTGGACAGGTGCCCTGGGAGCTGGGCTGCCCCCCAGCCTGGGGAGATGGGCAGGTGAGCTGTCAGGACACTGACAGTGAGCAGCTGAAATAATTGTGCTCCCATAGCTTCTGTTTTGACAAACTGGTGTTTGCTGGTCAGTAGTACTGTCAGTGGGGAAAGGACCAGCTCAGTTCTGGCTGTGGCAGTAGAGGAAGACCAGCTCATGCCAGAGGAGCTGAACTGTTGCAGGACCCTTGTTGTCCTAGCAGAGGAGGAATTTTCTGGAATTGCACAAGAAAAATATTATTAACTGGCCTACACACGCCCCTATGTACCTGCAACCAGAAAAAATAGTCTCAGTGAAAGCAGAATTGCTCTGCTACAAACTGGGAGGAGTGTAGTAAACCACAGCTATAGACATATGTATATATAAGTCTAAGCTATACATATTCAATAGCCTCTTCAGATCCTCAGTTATGAATAAAGAGTTGAGGAATTAACCTGCTAAAAAAAGACCCCAACAATCTAATACCACACAATGAGTGATGCTCCCTTGGATTAGCAATCTGTACTGGGAGAAAGTGATTTTCATTGGCAAAGAATCTTTCTTTTTGACCTGTTAGTCTCTCTCTAATAAATCTATAACCCACTCACACAATGTAATGAAGAGCAAGATTTTGAAAGAAGTGCTTCAGGAAAACAAAGGGATGCAGAGATGAATGTTCCATTCAAAGATGGAGAGCAATCTTCAGCAGTTATTATAAAACCTAAACAGAAGGGGGAGTGCAGGAGAAGAGAGAAAAAAAAAACCCTGTAGCCAAAATTCCCCTGCATTTCTGTTGAAGGCTGGGTGACTTTTAATTTTTCTTCAGATCACATGATGCAGATATTGATCCTTCCCCAAATCACACTCTTAATTGCAGCTCATCGACAAATGAATATTTTAATGCATACATTTCCTGCTAATTATCACCTGGACCAGTTCTTAATTAGATTTCAACACTCATTTAATTAACCCTGATCCAAGAGACTGTTTGGTAACTTGCATCTAATGATTTAAACCTATTTGCAGCTGTATTGGAGGGAGGCACTGGTCCACAGCAGATTGGGCTGTTCAGAGCTGCTGTTGTGATTTGCAGAGCAGAGCCTGCATCATGATGAGCACAATGCAGGATGGAGGATTTTGAAACTGAGTGAGAGTGTATTCATCTCTGCAGAAGGGGTTTCGAAGATGTGACCTGCTCCTGTTAGCATGACAGGCAAGTGTAAATAAGTTGGTGTCTTCTTCCTTCTCCTTTTCTCTCGATCTCTATTTGCCCTGGAAGTCTTAGGGCCAGGCAACTGCCTCAGGCATTTGCTGATGCCTCACACTGTTGAAAACCAAACTATTATTGTAGATGGCATCATGAAAACATGGGTAACTTCCACATGAAGTGCTCGCCCCTGGAGTGTTCTTCCCTTCTGATGTGAGTCATAGTGACTGCACAGCAGCTGTTTGACCCAATGGGATCTCATCTTGCCTCCCGAGAGATGTTTTTCTGGGTTGCCTGTCGCAGCAGGACTTCAGGCCTCTTTGAACATTGCTATCATATACACAGGGCAGAAAGGCCATTGGCAAATAGATTCAAGCTAGACCACACGCTACAAAGAAGGAAGAGAAAAAGAAGAGGTTTTTCTGAGAGTTCTCTGCAATGAGATGTGCATGTAAGCGGTTAAAGATGTGTAGCCAGTAGAGATGCTGCATTGCTTTTGAATATGGAGACTGACCTTGGGATTGATGCTTTCAGTGTGTGGTTCCTCATGTGCAGCTCTTTCATGTGGCCCAAAGGAAATCAGGCAGTAAACTGTATCAGATCAGCCAGTGTGGGACTTTTAACAGTGGAGCCAAATATTGCAGTTCATATACAGCAGAACAGGGCTGCTTTCTACTCCAGTGACTTCTACTAATCCACTGGACAGCAATAGAAATGCCCCAGAATGGGCCAGGTTTTCCATAGGGTAAAAATGCTGCAGCCCTTCCTCTGGATTATTTATTGCTTCTGTGAGGAGTTAAACCATGGTGTAAATCTGCTGTTGTCTGCTGGCAAAGGCAATAGGTCCTGTCTGCTCTGTCATTTACTGGTAATACATAATCTCCTTGCTCTCTCTGGTTCTCAGACTGGACCTCATATTTTGCCAAACCCCGTGAGAGTTACACTGGGTAAGTCAATAACATTTGAAATGCACTTCTGCATTTTTCAGAGGAAAGGACCTGTTCATTTCTCTACCCTGCAGACCCACAGTCAGAAGATACTATCATGAAAGTGAGCCTTCCTGCTGGTGCCTCTGCAATAGGCTGCTTCCAATTGGAATTTATCTCTTTTCCCCTCAAATCAACCTCCTTTTTCAAGTGCTTTGATATCTACTGATGAAAAGAATGATAAAGGCTAAGTATTATTATGCTTCTCCTATTCTCTCTTGGGCCAGCAAGTCTACTTAATATGGCTATCTTTCTTCCCATCCCCCTGCCACGCATGGCAATGAATTGCTCCCCTTAGTCAGCAGAGTCAGGCACTCTCTAGGTTGGTGGGGCGAGGGAAAAGATGGAGGAAAAATCACTCTGCGCCACGCTCACTTTGTAATCCCTAATCAGAGTCCTCTGTGAGAAAAACTAATTTCCCAGGCTGTCTTGACGTGTGAAATAAAGTCATTCTTGAAAACAGGAGCTTGACAGGTCGCTTGTGAAATTTCATATTCAGCTAAAAATAAAATATCCATCCATTGATATTTCATTTAAAGGCAAAGGAAAACAAATCTATTGCCTGGTTGTTGGAACTTTTTCCCATTAGATATGGTCTTCCAAATGGTGTGTATACACAGATTAAGTAAAAGCGTTTCAGCAGGCCAAACATTACTGCCCAGCAGCAGGGAAAAATCACAGAATCAACTAGGATGGAAAAGACCTCTGAGATAATTGAGTCCAACCTGCGACCAGACACCACGGTGTCAACCAGACCATGGCACTGAGTGCCACATCCAGTCTTTTCTTAAACACCTCCAGGAACTGTGACTCTACCACCTCCCTGGGCAGTCCATTCCAATGCCCCATCACCTTTTCTGTACAGAAATTCCTCCTAATGTCCAACATAAACATCATCTGGGGCAGCTTAAGACTGTGTCCTCTTGTCCTACTGCCTGGGAGAAGAAACTGACTCTCACCTGGCTACAGCCTCCTTTCAGGGAGTTGTAGAGAGAGATGTAGAGGCTCCCCCCTGAGCCTCCTCTTCTTTAGGCTAAACAATCCCAGATTCCTCATATATTCCTCATGGACTTATGCTACCCTTCACCAGCTTTGTTGCCCCTTTCTAGACACACTCCAGCATCTCAACATCCAGTTCTGGGAGGTCCAGAAACTCAACACAGCATTTAAGGTGGAGCCTCACCAGTGCCAAGTACAGGGAAAGAATGGCTTCCCTGGTCCTGCTGGCCACACTATTCCTGATATGGGCCAGAAGCCATTGGCCTTCTTGGCCACCTGGCACACTGCAGGCTCATGTTTAGTCAGCTGCCAACCAGCACCCCCACATCCCCTTCTGCCTGGCCACTGTCCAGCCACTCTGTCCCCAGCCTGTAGCACCGCAGGGCGGGTGTTGTGGCCCAAGTGCAGGACCCAGGACCCCATCCATTGTTGGAGTCAGCCCATCTATCCAGCCTGTCGAGGTCCCTCCCTGCCCTTCCACACTCCCCCAAAACTGCGTGTCCCCTGCAAATCTGCTGATGTTGGACTCAACTCCCTCATCCAGATCATCAATAAAACAGGGCTGGGCCCAACACTGATCCCTGGAGGACACCACTGGTGACTGGCCACCAGCTGGATGCAGCACTGTCACAGCCACTCTCTGGGCTTGGCCATCCAGCCAGTCCCTAACCCAGCAAACAGTGCACCCGTCCAGGCTGTGAGCTGCCAGCTTCTCCTGGAGGATGCTGTGGGAGATGGTGTCAAAGGCTTTGCTGAAGTTCAGCCAGACACATCCACAGCCTTTATCTG